ATTTTCAGTAAAATGTTAGCAATAGGCACTGGGCCCTTCAAATTCAGTATCTGGGGATTTGAACAGTTTTGGTTCGGTTTCAACAATTTTTAGACAAGAGATGACATAACTTAAAGTCTTATACCGATATAGTCATTGGTGCTTGATTTGTAAGCTGAAAAGGAAAAGAATCAGAAGAAACTAATTTGTATTATATGGGAAGTGGGCGTGGTCCGAGTTGTAATCCGATTTCGTACTGTGACATAGGAATGTTAGGATAATGTTATGTATCGAATGTTGTTGAAATAGGCCGAATAGTTCAGGTCATGATTTCACCTAAAAGTAGGCCACGCTCATTGATCAATTTTGACACCGGCTCCTACTCAGCCTTTTCGTTCTATCATCTCGAGCGTAAAAATTAATGTCTCTCACGCATTTATTTATTGATTTATCGCACTTTTAGTAGTTTTAAACAAGGCTATTACTTGGGGAGTAAGCAGGGGTCATAATCCAATTTCAGCTATTTTCACACTGTCGTAGGAGGTTTTAGTTTTAGTGGTTTTGGCGATATGTAAATTAAACCTATTAGATGGGGGAACCACACTAACTTTATCCAAATTTTTAAAACCTTTAAATTGCCTCCTTATTGCGATAAGTTGTACCAAACAGTTTTGTAGCTTATTGTGGAACTTAATTACGGCACTTTAAAGATTTCCAATTAATTGCGTTTTGAGGGCGTGGCAATGGTCTGATTCCGATCGTCTATAATACCAGCCTTTTCATGGAGCCAAGAAACAGATATCTCAATTATTACTCAAGACAGACAGTCAGTCGAATTTAAACTCGTCTCTTCCTCCTGATCATTTATATATAAATATATATATACAACTATCTCGATTAGTTTTAGATGATTCAAACAACCGTTAGGTGAACAAAACTGTTGCACTCTGTAGCAACATCTTGCAAGTGTATAAAAGTGCATACATTAGATGTTCCGATACATATATTGCATAATTATGGCAAAATAAATTACCCGTTTCACTGCTGACTGAATTTTGAAACTGTTAATAATTTAGTTGAACGCGTAAAATATTGAAGTTAAGCCAAAACTATTGTGACAAA